CTGGCTAGAACAGCAGCTGGCCAGCAAGCTCTGGGAAATCCTCCTGTCTTTACCCCTCATTACTGGGGTTACAGGTGCATGCTGCTGCAGCTGGCTTTTTGTTTTTCAAAATTATTATTTTTTATGTGTCTAAATGTTTTGCCTAAATGTATATACAGACACATGTGTATGCAATGCCCGTGGAGATCAGAAGAGGGCAAACATCCCCTGGAACCGGAGTTATAGGTAGTTGTTAGTTGCCATGTGGGTATTGGGAACCAAACCTGGGTCCTCTGTAAGAGCAGCTGGTGCTTTTTGTTGTTGTTGTTTGTAATGTGGGTGCTGGGGATCTGAACTCAGGTCCCCATGCTTGTGCATCAAGCACGTTACCCACTGACCCATCTCTCCAGCCCTGCATTATCTTTATTTACAGTAAGGATGCTGAAGATTAGGAGAGTTACACTGTTTGCATGAGATCACAAGGCTCCATACACATCACCCATGTTTGACTGTAAAACTGAAATAAATGTCTCTGGGGGCTAGAGATGTGGTTCAGTTGGTAGAGTGCTTGCCTGGTATGCATGAAGCCTGGATTCCATCTGCAGCACCACATAAAGACAGGTGTGGTGGCACACTCCTGTAATCCCAGCACTTGAGAGGTTGAAGCAGATGGACTAGGAGTTCAAAGTCATCTTTGGCTACATTTTGGATTTTACAGTAGCCTACATATAGTTAGAAGACTTTGTATTTTTGAAGAAACTTTGGACTTTCTTTTTTTAAAAAAATATTTTATTATTTTTATTTTATTTGTATGAGTGTATTGCCCACATGTATGTGAGTACACCCGTGTTGTGCAATGCCTGCGGAGGACAGAAGAGGCTGTCGGGTCCCCCTGGAACTGGAGTTATGGACAGTTGTTAGCTGCCATGTGGGTGCTGGGATTTGAACCTGGGTCTTCTGCAAGAATAACCAGTGTTCTTAACCACTGATCCATCTCTCCAGCCCAAAACTTCGGACTTTCAAAGTACTGAAATCTGTAAAGACTTTTAAGAGTTATACTATATTTTATAATGTGATATTAACATGAGATTTTGGGAGATATACAAGAAAGGAAAGTTTATGGTTTAAAGTAATGTGCTTGTGTGTCAAGGTTGACAAGGGGAAATGTCATAACTTCAGCTGTCAACTTGACACAAATCTAGTTACCTGGGAAGAAGGAACCTCAACTGATGAGGCCATCAGACTGGCCTGAGGATACTATGTCTATCTGTGATGCATTTATTGATTGCTGATTGCTGTAGGATGGCCTAGCCCACTGTGAGCAGTGCCATCCTTAGGCAGGTGGGTCCTGGCTGTGTAAGAAAGGTAGCTGAGCTAGCCAGGGGAGCAAGCACTGTTCCTCCATGGTTTCTGCTTCAGTTCCTGACTTGAATTCCTGCCCTGGCTTCCCTCAGTGATGGACTCTGACCTGTAGACCAAAAACAAACAAACAAACAAACAAACAACACAAACAAACAAACAAAACCCCCCAAAGAAACCTTTCCTCACCCAAGTTGCTTTTAGTCATGGTGTTTATCACAGCACCAGCCAAGGAAACTAGAGCACAGCTGGAGGCCACCCTGAGCTACATAAAGACACTACCTTCAAACAAACAAACAAACAAACAAACAAACAAAAGAAACAAATAAAATTCAAATGTCCTCTGACCTACCCAGGACTCAAAGGCAGCTCAAGGCAGTGGTTAAAGGTTGGGACCACTTCCAGCTTTGTTACCCAGCAAGTTATTTAACCTCTGTAGGCCTCAATTTCCTCTGAGTAAAATCTGCTTGATAACCACCTCATCAGCTCTTATGAAGATTAAAGATAGCAAATAAAGTACTGTATTTAGAGGTGTGCCAAACACAATAATTAGCCACAAACACAATTATTATTATACTTCTGCTGATTCTCTTGGTCTCCTAAGATACCAGAGATGAAGCAGGAGAAAAAGAGTCTTTTTGGTTATTGAAATTCTTTTTGAGACAGGCTCTCACTATGTAGCCATGCTTACCCTGTAATTCTCTATTTAGACCAGGCTGGCCTCAACCTTGTCTTGGATACTCCTGCCTCTGTATCCTGAATGCTGGGATGACAGTTGTATGTGCTCCAACCAGGCCCAACATCCCTCAAGAGTTTCAACAACTGAGCTGGGCATGGTGATGCACACCTTTAATGCCAGCACTTGGGAGGCAGAGGCATGTTGGATCTCTGAGTTTGAAGCCAGCCTGGTCTACATAGTGAGGGCTACATAGTGAGACTGTCTCAAAGCAAAACAAAACAGGGGCTAGAGAGATGGCTTAGCAGTTAAGAATACTGGCTGCTCTTACAGAAGACCCAGGTTTGAATCCCAGCACCCACATGGCAGCCTCCAGTTCCAAGGGATCCAATGCCCTCTTCTGGCCTCTTTGGGAACTGCATGCATTGGCATGGGTGCACTTACATACATGCAGGTATAACACTCATACACAATACACAAAGTTTTTTTAATTAAAAAGACAAAACAAATATCTACTAAGAGAAACTGGGCATGGTGGTGCATGCCTTTAATCCTAGCACTTGGGAAGTAGAGGCAGACAGATCTCTTGAGTACCAGGCCAGCCTGGTTTACAAAGTGAGTTGCAAGTCAGCCAGAGCTACATAGTGATACCCTCTCCAAAAAAAAAAAAAAAAAAATAGTGTCAGCAACTGGAAAACTATCTTTGTTCTATTCTGTCTCAGCATGTGCATGCAGGCACACACAAGACACACACACACACACACACACACATACGGTTAAATCTGGCAAATTACATGTGTTCTACTGATGGTAAAACACCAGAATACAATGACCTACAGGCTCCTTTTTGGGTGTTCCCCAGACAATTACGGGAAATGTCAGTTATGGCTGGAAAAGTTCAAATTTCTAGCACTCTGTATTAGACTAAACTTTTTTTTTGTTTGTTTGTTTGTTTTGAGACAGGGTCTCCCTGTAGCCCCAGCTGTCCTGGAACTCACTATGTAGACCAGGCTGGCCTTGAACTCACAGAGATCCACCTGCCTCTGCTTCCCCAGTGCTGGGATTAAAGGTGTGTGCCACCATGCCCAGCTAGACTAAACTTTTAAAAAAAAATTTAAAATTACATTTTTCTTTTCCTTCCTTTCCTTCCTTCCTTCCTTCCTTCCTTTCTTTTTTTTTTGGTCTTTTTGAGACAGGGTCTCCCTGTAGCCCCAGCTGGTCTGGATTCACTATGGAGACCAGGCTGGCCTTGAAATCCCAGAGATCCGCCTGCCTCTGCTTCCTGAGTGCTGTGATTAAAGGCGTGTGCCACTTGTGCGCTATTTATTTATTTGTTGCATATATGTGCATATGGTGGGGAGAGGGGCCCTTGCCACAGTACAAGTGTAGTGGTCAAAGGACAACTTTCAGGAGTTAATTCTTTCCTTCCACCACGTGGGTCCCTGGGATTGAACTCAGGTTGTCAGGCTTGGCAGCAGGCACCTTTACCTGCTGAGCCATCTTGCCAGCCCTAGGCTCAAACTTCTATATCTACTATCACTCTAGTTTTTATTTATCCAACAACTCCAAGTTTTTTTCTTCTTTCAATTAAAAGGGGTAGGGAGTACGGGAAGATACACTCTTTTTTTGCAGTGGGAAAATTCACAAAACCAAGTAGCTAATCAAAGCAAGGAACACCCAAGGCCCAAAGCAAACTTCCTTTTCTTTTGGTTTGTTTGATCTTTAAAGGGGTCTGTCTATAAGATAAAAGAATAAAATCCCTAAGACCAGTTAGACCCTGGACCCCATTTCATCTTTTCTAAACACACCTGAGTGGGGCCAAGGGTTTCAGAAACAAGAGGAGGGTGAAGTTCCCTTAGGGTAAAAAGGTTTTTTTCCCTGCAAGATTCCATTTATAGAACACACAGGCCTCCCTCTCTCTCCTATCTTTCCCACTCACGGAAAACAACAGGGGACCTGCCTTTTGCAGTGGAAGTCGAACTGGATCTTCAAAGCAGAATTCTGAAAGCCAAAGAAATTGACACCGGCAACTTTGGCACTGGGATTCCAAGGTCCAAATGTACTGTCTGAAATCAATCTCATATACAAATGAACCGATGAATATAACGCACGCCTATCAGCTTGACTCCAATCAATAAAGCAAAACATTAAAGCTCCAGGTAAAAGTGGATTGTGGCTTTTTGTTGATAAAAAGAAATGTTGGCCATCTGCCCTGGTCAGACCAGACAAAGAGGTATGTCTGCTTATTAGCGGTTGGGCACATCCTCAAATCAGGATTTTAAGTACCACTGGACAGCTTATCCTGACACACTAGGGGCAGAGTCTAACCGCCTCAAATCTTGCCCCTGACGGCGTGCCGCCTCCCTTCCTCCAGTCCTCCGGGTCACTTTCCAAGCTCCGCCACACTTTGCATTTCCTACATTCCTTCTCATCGCTCAGACCCCTTCCGCCCAGGCTGACAGCTGGGCTGCTGAGAGCCAAGTTAGAGGCACCGTTAACGGGATGCTGAGGAGTGTGTGTGTGTGTGGAGGGGGGCGGGTGTCGGTCAATACAAACAAGAAGCGATCAAGAGCCACCCCTTCCAACCCCAGGCCAGCGCCCCGACACTTGCAAAAACCAATTGGCTCCCAAGTGCTTCCCCTGGCCGGGGGCACTCCTTCCAGCGGTCCCTTTTGCATGCATCCCCCTCTGGCCTCCCTTGTGACCAGTGATGGTACCCGCCGGGTCTGGTCCCCCCCGCCCCCCGCCCCGGTCGCACTGATCTGTAGGTCCCGGGGGCGCAATCAGCTCCCCAAGCCAGCAGGGATGCCCTGGTCCGCGACCTCCACCAGACCCGCCTCGTTCTGCACCCCAAGATGCCTCTGATGCGGCCGCCTTGTGTAGTCCCTTCCGGGGCCTGCAAGACCCCTTACTCCGTTCCAAGCCTCCTCGGGACCCTGTATGTTTCCGGCTTTCCCACAGATGCCGTAGGGTCCTGGGTCCTCACCTGAGTCCGTTCGAAGCTCTCGCGCTCCGCTGCCTCCATCCCAGCTCCGACCCCACGCCGGCTCAACACTTTGGGCAGTGGGTTGGGGACCTGCTTCATAGAGCTGGCCATCCGGTCCATGTTGCCTCGATTAACGCCGTCAGGGGCTCTGGGCCACCCGGGATCCCCGCGGCGCCGCCCGCCCCGCCCTACCCGCGGGGATCCGGCGCTAACGGGGACAGATCTCGTCTTCCATTGGTTGAGAGCAGTGTCCATCTCCCCATACCCCGCCCCCATTGCTCCAAGAGGCTTTCCCCACACGCCTCCGCCCCCTCCGGAGGCGCTCAGCATCCACAGCCTGGCTGGCACGCCTCAGGGGAGATGGTGCACTATGATTGGTTTAGTGGCATGTCCGTCATGGCCGTGGGGTGGGACCTGGAGGGCAGCCCGACCAGCCCTCACTAGCTCCACCCCATACCTAGTGCACCGCCTCTCCGACCCCCTCGAGGCCAAAATAGCATAATAATTGGTCTACAGGCTTGTCCATTAATATGGTGGGCGGGAACTGATCCGCTACTACCCCGACCTGCCTAGCTGGCTCTACCGCACACCCAGCGCACCGCCTGTCTGGCTCCCTCAGGGCCCAAAGTACACTGTGATTGGTCTGGTCACTTCTCAATCATTACGGTGGAGCCGGGCCTGATGGACTGTTGCCTGGACTTGCCCTCGCTGGCTCCGCCCATACTCAGCGCACCGCCTCCAGCTCTCCCACAGCCGTAGGGCTCTGTGATTGATCAGAAGGCTTTTCCGTTATCGTGGTGGGGCGGGATCCGATACGCTGCTGTGACCTTTTCTCACTGGCTGGGTCTCACTTTCAGCACGTGCTGTGTGCGTCCTTCTGCGGCTCCTTGTACCTGCGCGTGACGCTCTGCAGTCCGCGGTCGCGTCGCCCACTAGGGGTAGGGCGCAGGAACCACGGGCTTCGCAGCCGGAAAGCGCTGTCCTTGGCCGGACGCACCGGAAAACTCTGGTCACCCGGATGGCGACCCCCAGGTGCTGGACTGACACTGCAGGAGCCTCCCTGGATCTTTCCATCCCCAGTTTTTCTGTTGATAGAAATCCCCATAGACACTTTGTTTATTCATGGTGGGGTCCGCCCCTGCCTAGGGTACCCCACAGGCAGGGGACCTGTGCGCCTCAGCAAAGATGCTTGGGAGGGTTACACGTTTTCCACTAAAAGAACGAAGGGCCCCTGTAAGCATTAAACTAGTGATTCTATCTAGATTCTATCCATCCTTCCAGTAGAACCCAGAGCCTCATTCATACTTCTCAATGCTTTTTTTAATTAATTAGTGACACCCTTGTATTCACTGTGTAGCCAAGGATGACCTTGAACCCTTTATCCTCCTGTCTCTGCCTTCCCAGGGCTAGGGTTACAGGCGTGGACTAGGATTACATGGGGGGGGGCGGTGCGCGCGCCTCCCCCCTTGGCTCACCGTGCTCTTATTCTGCCATACACGTGTGGAGGTCAGAGGACAACTTGCAGGAGTCTTGTTTTTTCACCATGTGTGTCATGAGGATCGAATTCAGGTCATCAGGCTTGGTGGCTACTGACTTTATCCACTGACGGATCTCCCCTGCTGGACTTTTTAAAAAAAATTTAAATTATTTTTATGTGTATGAGTGTATTACCTGCATGTAGGTAAGTGCACCCATGTCGTGCAGTGCCTGCGGAGGACAGAGGAGGCCATCGGATCCCTTGGAACTGGAGTTACGGACAGTTGTTAGCTGTCATGTGGGTGCTGGGATTCGAACCCGGGTCTTCTGCAAGAACAAGTGTTCTTAGCCACTGAGCCATCTCTCCAGCCCCTGGACTTTTTTTTCCTTCGGAGCTGAGAACCGAACCCAGGGCCTTGCACTTGCTAAGCAAGGGCTCTACCACTGAGCTAAATCCCCAACCCCCTTTCTTGTTATTTTGTATTTTTTTTTTTTTTTAAGGGCAGTGTTTCCATAAGTATTCCAGGCTAGTCTCGAACTCCCAGCAAGCCTCTTGTCTCTGCCTCTTGAATGCTAGGATTACAGGCATAGACCACCACACCCCACTGATCCCCTGGCCTTCCATAACAAAAGAGGTATTTATATGTTTGTTTTTTCCATTTTCATGTGTGTTTATGCGTGTTTGCATGTGTGTGGGCACATGGAGGCCCAAGGCTGATGTCTGCAATCAACCTCCATCACTCCCTCTCCCACTGTATTCATTGAGGCAGGGCCTCTCAAACTCCCAGAGCTCCATATGTCTAGTCTGACTAGGCAGTTTGCTCTGGGATCCCCTTCTGAGGCTGGAATCACAACCCAGCCAGTACTTGCGTGGGTTCTTGGGATCCCAATCCCCTCATGCAGCAAGTGCTTTAATCATCTCTCCAGACAAAAAGAAGTACTTTAATTTGAAATTGCCAATGATTCCTCTTAAATCAGGAACTTTTGGTAAAACTTTACATTTGATAGAGGCAAAAGAGTGAGTGGTAGTTTGTAAGCACTAGGGAACCACTGAAGGTTTTGGTTGTGCCATGTGGCCGTTGTGCGTATCTAATCACCCAGTGCTTCCAAAGGAAGGGAAGGAACAAGGGAGTGGTGTCAGCAGTGGGTAGGTGAGGGACAGTGGTGGTTCCTAGCACAAGAGTGTCCAGGGACTGATCTCATTCTCTCTCTCTCCCTTGGTATATGTCTGTGCCCAGGGGTGTAGGCATGCTGGCATGTGCAGGTGTACACTTGTGGTAGTGCATGTGAATGTGTGTGCATATGCATGTGGAGGTCAGAGAACAACCTACAGAAGTTGGTTCTGTCCTTCTGTCATGTGGGTCCTGGGAGTTGAACTCAGCTAGTGAGGCTTGGCAGCAAGCACCTTTACCTGCTGAGCCATCTTGCCACCTCCCACCTTTATTTGAGACAGGGTCTCTCATTGACCTGGAGCTCACCAAGTAGGCTATGCTGACTGGCCAGAAAGTCCCAGGGATACCTGTCTCCACCTCCCCAGCACTGGGATTGCAGGTACTAGCCAGTATGCCGGACTTGTCTTCTAACATGGGTTCTAGATAGCGAGCTCCTGTCCTTGTGCTGCAAGGGAAGCACTGTACAACTGAGCTATCACCCCAGCACCCAGCAGAAGGGGTTTCTGTAGAAAACACTGGAGGAGTAGGTGGCATTCCTAACGATGTCTGTGCGACCATTCTGAGTTGCCCACTTGTCCTATGCTCTGGGTCTAGCTAAAGAAAGATTTAGGACTTCTTGCCCAGATTTTATGGCATCAATAAACACCAGTCATTTAAACAAGGATTAAAGGATCAGACTAGCTCTTATTGGGATAAACCAGAGTGGTAATGAGGAATTTGTGGTTTGGAGGCACCAGGGAGGAAAAGACTCAAGTGAGTTACCTTCCCTGTGAAAGTCAGTAAGTTTAAAAGAACATCATGGGGCTGGAGAGATGGCTCAATGGTTAAGAGGCTGCTCTTGCAGGGGACCCATGTTTAGTTCCCAGCATTCACATGGTGGCTGACAAGGGTCTCTAACTCCAGTTCCAGGGGATCTGACTTCCTTTTCTGGCTTCCATAGGCATTGCATGCAAACACTCATACCCATAAAATAAAAATAAATTTTTAAAAAAGAACATCAGGACTGTTGGGACTCTAGACCTCAGTGAGTGTCTTGCACAAAGGACAGGTGATGCTATCAGCTAAAATTTGAGAGAAGAGGTTGAAAGATAGAGACCTAGACTTCCAAAATGTATTTGACACAGGCCAGAGCCAGAAAGACGGCTGGGGGTTAAAGGTGCTTGCCACAAAACCAGATGATGGAGTTCAATTCTCTGGACCTACATAGTGGAAGGAGAGTGCCCACTTCTGCAAGCTGTCCTCTGATCTCCACACCCACGCTGTGACACTCATACACACACATAACATACACATATGCACACACACAAATAAATGTAATTTGAAAAAAATTGTAAGAAAAAAAGTCCAGGAAAGAGGTCCTGGTGGCTCAGGTCTGTCATGCCAGGTATAGTTGGGGCAGGAAGCAGGAGAGTCGAAAATCTAGGCTACAGAGTGAGTTCAAAGTCAGTCTGGGCAACTTAATGAGACCCTGTCTCAATATAAAGTATAAAAAGAAGGCTGGTGGTGTTGGCTCAGAGATAGAACACCTGCCTAGAATCCCCCAGTGAAGAGCTGGGTGTGGCTCAGTGGTAGAGCACCTGCCTAGAATCCCCCAGTGAGGGCCTGGGGGGCATGGCTGGTTTAGTGGTAGAGCAACTGCCTAGAATTTTCCAGTGAGGGGCTTGGGTGTGGCTCAGTGGTAGAGCACCTGCCTAGAGTCCTCCAGTGAGGGGTTGGGGATGTGGCTCAGTGGTAAAGCTCTTTCCTAGTTTGACTGGAGGGCTTGCTACATGAAGCTAATAATATTGTGGCACTGATTTCTGCAAAGAATGCTATTAAGTCAGACATGGTAACACATGCCTGTAATCCCAGGAGGCAAAGGCAAAAGGATCAAAAATTCTAGGCCGTCCTAGGCAAAATAATAAGACCCTGTCTCAGACAAAAAAATGAAAACATTTTAAAATTACTTTTCCTTCCTTTCTTATTTTTTTTTAGACAGGATATTTCTATGTATCCCAGGTTGGCCTGGAGTTAGCTATATAGTACAACTGGCCTAAAATTAGGATTGTTCTGCCTCAGTCTCCAAAATACTGGGATTACAGGCATAAACCACTGCACCCTACAGAACTAGAGTTTTAACCCTGGAAACAGGAATTCATATTGAAAGAGGCCAGCAGGTGGCAACAGAGACCTACTGTGTTACCTTGTGTTACCAAGGTCTGTAGATTAGAACCGAAGATTCTCCCCTAGGGTTTTGCTCTGTAGCCCAAGCTGCCCTTGAGCTCACAATCCTCCGGCCTCTGGCTCCTGAGTGCTAGGATCAGGGATATGCACTGGTTCAGCTTCCCCTTAAAAGACCTTCAGGCATCTAGCAGACAAAGAAGCTGTCAGGTCTTCAACTTTCCCAGAGTTAAGTGCACTGGGCAGCTGCTATGTCATCCTCAGTGAGGCTTCACAAATGGGGACAGCACAGACTTTGGAATGGACTGACCTGGGGCCCAGTGTCAGAACTGCTTGCTATGTCTTTAATATCTATGACCTTCAACTCCATT